GGGCGGGACTTGGTCAGAAGGGGGCGGGGCTCCGGCAGAGTGGGGCGGGGTTCTGGTTGAGGGGGGCGTGACTCTGTTTGAGAGGGGTGGGGCTCCTCTATAAGAGGGCGTGGCTCCACTGGAAGGGGGCGGGGCCGCCCATTGAATTTCTCCATGGCTGGGGGCGGGGCTTCGCCGGAGGGGGGCGGGGCCTGGGGACCCGGGTTCAAGTGGGAGACCCGGTTCTGCTTGTCGGGTTCCGGCTGATTGTGGATCCGTTGGTCCTGGGACTGGACGGGTTCTGGTTCTGGTTCTGGATCAGGAGGACCGCCTGCTTTGACTGGATCCGGTTCTGGTTCTGGATCAGGAAAACCGCCCTCTTTGGCTGGATCCGGTCCTGGTTCTGCTTCTGGATCAGGAGAACCGCCCTCTCTGGCTGGATCCGGTTCTGGTTCTGGAGCCGGTTGGGCTGAAACAGGGTTTGGAGGTTCTGGTTCTTTTGGTGGAGGCTGGTCAGTGGGGGCCGGTTCTTCTGGACCGGGTCGGTTCTGTGACCCGGTCAGGAGGACCGGATCCTGGTCCTCCTCGGTCTCTGGGTCAGGAAGCGGTCCAGACGGGCCGGAACCAGGACTTTCCGCCATCCTGCCAACAAATAAAGGGAACAGAACCAGAACCATCAGAACTTTGGTTGAACAGAACCAGAACCATCAGAACCACCGTGACTTTGGCTGAACGGAACCAGAACGATCAGAACAATCAGAACTTTGTGGGCTGAACAGAACCACAACCATCAGAACCATCAGAACTTTGGCCTGAACAGAACCAGGAACCATCAGAACTTTGGTTGAACAGAACCAGAACCATCAGAACCTTGAATTGAACTTTGGCAGAACAGAACCAGAACCACAAGAACTTTGTTTAATCAGAACCAAAACACCATCAAAACTTTGGTTGAACAGAACCAGAACCATCAGAACCATCAGAACTTTGGGCTGAACAGAACCAGGAACCATCAGAACTTTGGTTGAACAGAACCAGAACCATCAGAACCTTGAATTGAACTTTGGCTGAACAGAACCAGAAGCACCAGAACTTTGTTTAATCAGAACCAAAACACCATCAGAACTTTGGTTGAACAGAACCAAAACCATCAGAACCACCATGACTTTTGCTGCACGGAACCAGAACGATCAGAACCATCAGACCTTTGGGCTGAACAGAACCAGGAACCATCAGAACTTTGGTTGAATGGAACCAGGAACCATCAGAACCACCAGAACTTTGTTTAATCAGAACCA